TTTTTGCCAAGTAAAGACTTTATCTTTTTCTTCAGTTAAATCTTTAATAAGTTGAGAGAGTGTATTGTTTTTTATATCTTGAGTTAATACAATATCTGTATTAAGTTGTGAAGGAAATATAACTGATTTCTTTTTGATAGATTCAGTAGAAACAGTAAGGTCACTAAAATCTATATTTGCCAATAATTATCCAATGCATTAGTACTATCCAAGTGTGATGTGAGTATATCTGGTTCTGTTTCTAGTAGGAATTGTAATGATGTAATAGTTATGTACTAAAATAGAGTTACCAGTTATTGTTAAGCTATTGTCAATAGCAAGTGGGTTTTGATTCCATAGTACAAGTAAATTGTTTAAAGCATTTATGGTCTGAGGCTGTAATTGTTGTGAGGCAGAAGTTTTAATTTTTATGAGATTAGGTAAAAAACTACTAAATTAGGAAATAAAGATTTGGGTAGAGGGTGTTTCTATTTATAATTTTTGTAATAATATAAACAAATCAAAGATTTTCAAAATGTTTGCTTGTGTATACAATGTGGAGTGTCTTTGTTTGCTATAATCGTCAAACAAGTATTTGTTCGACCATATACTCTGAATCTTTAACTCTAAAATAAAATTTTTCTACAATGTTCTATGAATTAAAAATTCTTTATCTGTGTTCGTACCCTTAAAAAGTGAAGTTACTGAACTTCATGTGCTAATTTGTCTAAAATTAGCTTCTGTTTGTTTTAATTATCTATAGATTTCTTGTTTTAGCAAGCATATTGTCAGTTGTGATTGTTTTCTGCATATATTATATGATCTTTTTATTATGGCTAATAATGTTTTTCCATTATTTATTCCTTAATTTTTGGCATTCATTGTATTTAAAAATCTTTTTTTTACAACTTTTGGATCCTTATCTTTTTTTTCCTTTCCCTTTTCTTGTTCAAACTTTTCTAATATCTTTATCTTTTCTTCTTGTAGTTTTATCGAAAAACTTTTGTCTTTTGCCTTGTTTGTTTCTTTTTATTTATCTTGCTGTCATTCAAAGATGTGTATAATTGTTCTGGCTGTACACTAAGTCTTGTCTAATTTAGACATATAGGGCTTGGCTGGTCTTCTACTTTGGTGCACTATGATGTTGGCCCAAGTAGATACTTTCATCTTTGTCTTTTCCTCTTTTTGTTTCAATACTCATAGTCTTTTGTGCAAGTAGAATAAGAACTTATCTTCATTGGTATTGCAAATAATAGACCTTGCTTGTAATATTTTTGGAATAAGGGTTTTCTAATTGTTTTTTTTATTCTTTTCCAAGTTATCATTTAGAGATAAGTTTGTTTCTAATTAAGTTTTGCTTTACAGATGCATCACTGTAGTAAGGGTAGTTCGATTTCAGATCATTTGTCGGTACTTTATAATTAAATTATAAGTTTGAAGGCAGAAGCAGCTGAAAGAAATCTATTGTTCTAGAAGCAGCAAGAGAAGTATTTATATAAGAAACTCGACATCAAAACATGACTAAAAAGAGAAATAAGCTACGTGTTCGGGTAGCAAACTTGAAGGATGAGGTGTAAGAATTAAGACAGATAGTGCAGGAAAATAGTAATAGTAATAGAAATTATTTCTGTAATATTTTGTAAATAAAATAAATAGAATTTAATAAAACTTATAAATCTAATTTGTAATAAAATTGCAATAATAAAATTTGTACTAATAAATAAATAAATAAATAAAATTAATAAATAAATTAATTAATAAATAAGTTAATAAATAGATAAATTAATAAATTTTGGTAAAAAAAAAATAGTTAATGTTATAAGTTAAGGTTAGAGTTTGAAAGTGTTAATTGTTAATAACAACAGTAGGTTGCCAGTTCTGTTTCTTATAGTATTGAGTTAGGTGATCACTAATATAATAATTTAATAGTGTTTTTTCCTTTAATGTTGAAAGCTTGTAAGCTCTATTGTTTAGTTTAGCTTGGATAATAAAAGGTCCAAGTTATTTTTTTTTGAATTTAGTAGATCAAGAAGCTTTGATATCTTTTTGGTATACCTATACTTTATCTTCTTTTTCAAATTCTTTGATTTGAATCTTTAAATCAAATCATACTTTCTGTTTCTTTTGAAATTGTTCAGTATTTTTTCAGGCTTCACTATGTTGTTAAGGTAATTTATCTATTAACGCAAATGCTCAGGATAAAATACTATCTTCTAAAGATATTTCTTGGTCTGTTTCTGGTGAAGTAGCTTCAATAAATAATATAGCTTGTCGTCTATATACCAATTGAAAGGGTGTATATCCAGTTGTTGCATGTTGTTTAGTCCTATATGCAAATAAGATAGCAGATATATGTATATCTCAATCTTCATCTGTTTTTTTTACTTTTACAAGAGAGTTACAAAGTGTCTAGTTTAATTGTTTAACTATACCATTAGTTTGAGGATGATATAGAGAAGAAAATATATATTTATCAAGAATTTTTCACATAAAATTTTGACAGTTATACTAATAAAATTTCTTCTATTATTAGAAAGTATTATTTTAGGTATGCCATGTCTATACACAATTTCTTCAAATATAAATTGTGCTAAGGTTTCTGCTCTAGCATTTCATACAGCTTTTGCTTCAGGCCAATGAGTAAGATAATCAGTGGCAACAATAATATATCTATTATTCTAGTTAGTTTTGAGAGGGATCCTACAAGATCTATACTGATACATTCAAAGGCTCGTTCAACTTGAATAGAATGAAGAGGTTCCTTACAAATTCCTTTTTGTCTTTTCTGGCAGGTTTCATATGAGTGAACATAGTTCTGGATATCTTTATACATCTGATCCTAATAATATCTTTTAGATATTTTATAATACATAGTATCAGTTCTTAAATGTCTAGCAGTAGGATGACTATGCATCATATAGAGAACAGGTTCTACTTCAGTCCATTTAATTACTCAAATAGATTTGTCTGGATCTTTTTGATTCTTTTTATATAACAATTTATCTTTAAGTTATTAATACTTTGATTATTTAATTAGTATCTGTTTTTTATTGTTCGTTAAGTCAGGAGGAATTTCGTCTGATTCTAGATAGATCACTAAATTTTGGTAGTGATCTAAATTTATATAAGAGCAATAGGTATAGGTTGGGTCTGGTTCTCAAGTCGAGATAGTGCATCAATATTTGGATAGATTTGTCCAAGTTTGTGTATAATAGTAAAATTATAGGATTGTAGCTTCATTATCTATTGGCCTAGTTGTCCTTTAGGCTGGGAGAATTTTAATTATTTGAGAGCAGAGTGGTCAGTAATAAGAGTAAAATGATCAGTTTCAAAATACTTATGGAAGTATTCAATAGCCCACACTATAGCAATACATTCTAATTCTATAGCTCTATAGTTTATTTCTTCTTTCTTCAAACTTTTACTAGCATATGTAATGGGATGTTCTTTTCGATTATCTGAAATCTGACTCAAGATAGCTCTAAATCTGGTATAAGAAGCATCAGTAGCCAGTATAAACTCTTTCTTGTAGTTAGAATAAATTAGTATAGATGTAATAACTAATCTTTGTTTGAGTTCATCAAATGGCTTTTGATAGTTCGAGGTCTATTCATAAGGGGTATCCTTATATAGTAACTAATTAAGAGATTGAACAATAGAGGAAAAGTGTTTGATGAATTGACAGTAATATCCAGCAAGTCCTAAGAAAGATCTAAGTTGAGTGACACTTGTTAGGAATAAGATATTTTGTATAGCAGCTATTTTGTCTAGGTCTGGAGAGATTCCTTTTTCTTCTATAATATGTTCAAGAAAGGGTAAATATTTCATTTAAAAGTTACACTTTTCAATATTAAGCTTTAATTCAGCTTTTCTAATTCTAGTAAATACTTTTTGTAAATACTTAATATGATCATCAAAAGTTCAAGAAAATACATTAGTATCATCAAGATAAACTACAACATATTTGTAAGCTATATCCTTATAAACCTGATTCATGAGTTGTTAAAAGTTGCAGAAGCATTACACAATTCAAATGGCATTACATTAAACTCATAAGTACTAAGGGCCGATCACACAACTCTTCCCAATGATTACTTGTACCAAATTCTCTCTACAAACAATTAGTTTTTTTTTAGAAAATTTTACTAAGTAAACTACAGTTAGCTGTCTAAATAAACTTGTTCTATACAAAATTTTACATATAGATAGCCCTTTATTGTATCTCTTTAGCCCTTCTACGAAGAGATATAATATATTTGTTTAAATTTATTTTTACTTATAAATCTCAAAATTTAATTAAGTAAATACCACTACCTTTTTAATAGCAAAAGATAGAGCTCATCTAGAGCTTCATTTTGATATATAATATATAGAAAACAGACTTAAACTCACATTTTTATCTTCAAAACTCTGCAAACTCCCTTGCAAAAATTCTTTGCTATTTTTTGCAAATTTTTTTTTGTGTTTTTTGGGGGTCCTGTCTCCTTAGGACGCCCAAACCTGCAGATCACTATTACAAATCAATATTACTAATTAATTTACACAAAAATATTATCTGTTTCATCTATTTTTATCTTTATTTTTAATTTACTATTTTAGTCTTAATAACTTTACATAACTTTTGTTACACTATTGTTACGTTACACTAGGTCACACAAGTATACAAGCCACACTAGCCACAATATTCTTATCTTGTTGTTACACAAGGTTATACAAGGTTACACTGACCAGCCACACTAGCCGCAATTTAATTTAACACCTATTTTTAATTCAACTCCTAAAAACAACTTTGTTAAATTTAACAAAAATAAGTTTTTTTTAGTAAAAACTTGGAATTTTTTTAACAAAATACCTACTTTAACTAACCAGGAACCAGATCACTATGACCTGAACTACGTAATAAAACTTTATTACTGATTTGGTAATCATAGAGTTTAATATGTTGATCGTGATACTTCTTTTGTTTATTTTGTGCTTTAATTATATTAGTTTGTGCTTCAATTCTTTGTTGAGGTAGACATTTAATTAACTTGTATATGTGATGTAATAATTTTTTGTGGGGCATTATTCTACAAATGTTGCCCATATCAGTTATAAATTGAAATTCTACAGGTAGTACTGCATCTTGGCTATACAATAAATTAAATGGTTTAAATTTGGTAGTTGTTTGTTGATGTATATGATATGCAAATAGAACAGAAGGTATATGAACATCCTAATCTGTAGAAAATGTGACAACATATTTTGCCAAAGTTTCACATAAAGTTCTGTTAAATCATTCAACAAGTCTATTTGTTTTGGGATAATAACTAGAGGATAGTTTGTGTTTAGTTCCTAAATATTTATAGAGAGAGTCTATTATTTCATTTACAAAGTGTATTCCTTGATCTATTAATAGTGTTTTTGGACAACTGTATCTACAAATTATATCTTCATAAAAAAATTTTGCTACAGTGAGGGCTAAAGTATCTGGTATAGGTCTTGCTTTTGGCCATTTTGTCAGGTATTCTGTTGCAATAATGATATATTTATTTTCTTATTTAGTTTCTGATAAGGGTTCTACGACGTCCATTCTATTCATATCAAAAGGCTAATTTACTACTATTAGGTGTAAAGGATTAGTTTTTAGAGGCTTTCCTCTTTTTTAACAGGCATCACATGCTTGTATATATTCTCTAATATGTTTTTGCATTCCTGGCCAAAAGTATTTCTTTGCAATTGCTATATATGTTTTGTCAAAAAAAAAATGTTCTGCACTTGGATCATAGTGCATTTGGTAAAGAACTGCTTCTATTTTATTAATTTTTAATACTCGAAGGGATATAGAATTATTAAGAGAAAGCTTTTTAAATAATAAATTGTTTTGGATAAAATAAGAAATAGCTTTTCGTTTAATACTAGATTTTTGTGGGAAAGATAAATTAGGTGGAAAATTAAGAGTTTGGAGATAATTATAAATAAGATTATAGATAGGGATATCCATAATAAAATATAATAAATATTAAAATATAATAATAATATAAATAAATAAAAATATTGCTTTGATTTAGAGTTTAGATTTGTTGGGTGAGTTTGGATAGATCATCAGTATTTTTATGTATTTTTCCTGCTCTATGTTGTACAGAAAAATTGTAACCTTGGAGTTTCATAATCCAATATGCAAGTCTTCCTGTTGGATTAGCAATTTTGAATAGAGAGCATAATGCAGAATAATCAGTAATAATTGTAAATTGTTGTCTATGTATATAAGGGTGAAAGTGTTTAATTAACCATACAACAGCTAGACATTCTAGTTCTGTTGCAGAATAATTTTGTTCAGATTTGTTTAGAGTTCTGGAGGCATATGCTATAGCATATTCTTTATCATCATCTCCTATTTGGGATAATATTGCACCAAGGGCTATAGTTGATGCATCTGTATAGAGTAAAAATTCTTTGTCAAAATTTGGGAATATAAGAATAGGGGCTGTGATAAGTTTTTCTTTTAAAGTTTCAAATGCTTTTTGTTAATCTTCTTTTTATTTCAGTTTAATATTTTTTTTAAGTAGTTGGTTTATTGGGGCTGCTATTTTTGAAAAATTGGCTATGAATCTTCTATAATAGGAAGCAAATTCAAGAAAAGCTGTATTTGGATAATAGTTTTAGAGACAGGATAATTTTTGATCTTTTCTATTTTTGCTGGGTCAGGTGAGACTCCATTTTTACTAATTATATGTCCTAAAAATGCTAGTTCTTGTTTGATAAAAAAGCATTTTTCAGGTTGAAGTTTAAGGTTTGCTTTTCTAATACATTCAAATACAAGACGAAGATGTTGGATATGTTTATCAAAAGTTTTAGAGAAAATATTGATATTATTAAGATATATTACAACAAACTTCCAAAGATATTCTTGTAGTATATTGTTCATTAAACGTTAAAATGTGGCTGGGCATTAGTTAATCCGAAGAGCATTACTTTGAATTCATATAGTCCATGTTGAGTAGTAAATGCAGTTTAAGGTACATCTTGAGGAGCTATAGCTACTTGCTAGTAACTACTTGCTAGATCTAGAGAAGTGCACCATCCAGATCCTTGTAATATGTCTAAGAGTTCATTAATTCTTGGTAAAGGATAACTATCCTTTTTACTTACTGTATTTAATTTTCTATAATCTACGCAAAAATGTACTTTTCCATTTTTCTTTTTGATGATAACAACTGGAGAGGCCCAAGGACTTTTAGAAGGCTGAACAAGATCTGGTTTTAACATTCCTTGAATTTCTTTCTTAATAAAATCTGATTCTTTAGGTGAGGTTTGATAAAATTGTTAATTTATAGGTTTATTGTTTTCAACTTTGATTTCATATTGGATTTCATCAGTTCTTTCTAGGTCAGAATCATTTTGAGCAAAGATATCAATATATTCATTAACAAGATCATAAAATTCTTCTTGTTGTTTTCATCTAACTCTCTAACATTAAGTTTAGGAGGAGGGTCAAAAGAATCTTC